CAACTGTGCGTGTCTCAGTGAATCCCTTAATTTAGAAGCAACTGATACATTTTTCTTCTGCATAATTGTCACATTGCCCTGTGAGCTTTTAGTATCTACAGCAACCTGTGCAAACACTGAGACCCAAGTGTAAAACACACAGTACAGTCTGCTTTTCATTACTTTGAGGTTGAGCCCTCACAGCTTTGCTTCATCACTCTCTTTATGCCGACGGAGGAGGCAGTGAGGAGTCACTTCCCACTTACCATCTCTGGCCACTCACTATTTTCTAGCCAATTTCATTGCTGTATGTTTACTAAGTCTAGAATTGAAACCAACAAGAACCAGAAGCTTCATTCCCTTTATGAGACCACCAAGAGAACCAGCAAAAGCTTATAATAACCCAGACGTGAGAACAGAAGTGGGAGCAACTGCTTTCCACCAGATAAAGGCTGAGCCTATTGCAATTGCCCAATACTAGCAGAATCTAATTAAAAATGTTTCATTAACAGCATAGCCCGAGAACAAAGCTTCAGACAAAGCACTGAACACTGACCAGGTCTCCCGATGTGAGCCTATGAAACGGGTTTGAGCCTGCAAAGCACTGAACACTCACAGACCAAAGCACTATGTGCTTAACTGTTAAGAATATGAATATAGCTATCAAAGCTGAAGAAGGAGCCTATGCACTTTGCCTCATCAGAATGACGAGTAATTACTACCATCAAATCTATCAGTCACATATGAACATAACCTCTGAGCACTGAGAGAGCTGCAGGTTCTTTGCTGGGTCTCATCAGGACTATTTGTCAAACATCTCAGAGTTAAGACTTCTTCAGTTTTGCTAAGCCTGCTAAACTTAGAATAGCATTTAAAAGTAGTTCCACTTTTCTACAGACACATCTTTCCTAGGACTTTCAGGGACTTAAAGCTCTCAACCACAATTTGTACAACCTAAGCTGTATCAATTAGATATAGGCAGTTCTGGTCACGATGCTTCATGGTTTTGATACCAATTATATGCTTTAAAAGTACAGCAGTGCTTTCAGATATACACTGGGGCTAAACAGGTTAGAAGCCCAGTTTGTAACACAATTTCAACTAGCAAAAATGGTAAAGCTATTCCAGATAATATTTGCTTTCATGAGTGTGGTTGCTTTCAACTTCTGAGCTAATATGCCACAGCGAAGGGTGAGAGTAGAGCACAGGGCTTTCAATATGCCTCTCATTTTCCTAACCATCTCTTAGGAACACTGCCATGTCAGACACTGGAAAGCGTGTCCAGTGACAGGATTTTTTGTGCTTTTAAAGCGTCATTTTGGAACATTTACAACTGACTATTCTTTTTCTTATTAAAATGTCTGCTGCCTTAAATGTCCATGAATATGGCACATTTGACTATAAGCAAACTGCACACGTACACACACAAAAGTAGAAAATTACAGAATAGATGAAGAATCTGATTTTTTTATAAAGTTGTTATGCTGTTCCTATTGAGTTACTTTCTCAAATAAGTGTTTCTGTGCTTTCAAACAAGAAATTGTGAACACATTTGTACAGAACTCTAAAATTAAAAGTTCAAAGAGGGAACATTCACCATGTGGTATTTGCAGCATGAAAATGTCTAAGCTAGCCTGTAATCCAAAGAAACACTTTACTCCACCCAAAATTTGCCTTCTCTCTGTCTCAAAAGTCCAATTATTAATTTTAATATAAATAGTATGTTCTTCACCTTCTTTTATACATCCTTTTGGAAATATTACTGTGCCAACTAAGCATACAGAGATAAGACATTGTGTATATAAAAGCAGCTCATAATGCCCCCTTGAAAAAAAGCTACGATGGGGGAGAGAGGGGGGCATCTGCAATTAAAACACTAAGTAGCTAAGATCAAACTATGATTTTGATTCTAGACTTACGACTCTTGGAATGTGCTAAGCCATTCCACAAAGCTCATTTTTCTTACAGGAAGTGATCTAATATACAAAGTACTTTATAATTTTCAATCAACAGAAATACAGATATGAATGTATTAAGCCAATATCTATAAAGCAAGACATTAGGTCACTTCCTGACAACTAATATCTAAAATCGACATTTGTTACTGCATGAAAGCATGCTTATACAGTGTTAGTTGAAACAAGAACTTTGTATTTTTACAGGGTGGCTATATTGGCTCTGCTACCTCTGTAATCACTGCTGATGTATAATCCCTTCCCTGCCACTCCCCTGCATGTCACCCTCCAACATCCCTTCCTCACAGCTCCAGCACATTTCACTACAGCACTGTTAAGTTAGAAAACATGATTTTTTTCTTATTTTTAATTGGTAGATTCAGAAATCTTTCTGTGGTAAACCCAAAACTTGGTTAGATAGTCCAGCAGTGAATTTAAGACACAGTTTTCCAGTGGGTTTTTTGGGGAAATGGGGGGGAAGTCGGACTCTTTTTTTGAAGGGAGGGAGAAACAGAAAATGAAGAGGGATGTTTTTCAAAGCAGCTTGACAGAAATATCCTTCAATTAGAAAAAAAGAGGCCTCCATCAGAAGAGTGTCCATGGGGAGGAGGGGACAGACCTGGTAGTAATGGAAAGTCTGTTCCATAACAAGAGGCTCACAGTACATTAAATATTTATAATGAGCAAATGCACTTGGGTCTTTTTTGTACCCGGTCTGCAACCCCCACCCCAGTTTGACTGAACTGGGGAAACATTAACGGCACTTATATACTAAGCGTACTGAAACCTGGCAGCATGCAAATGTTGAAAGAAAAGCCAGTTGTGCCAAACACCAGGTAGATACCCATGAGCAGGGAAAAGACAGAAACTGGAAGGAGAGATGGTGAGGCAGGAGAGGCCATCCTGCAGCTGCCAAGCGACACACGCCGAGCGGCCACGCGCCATTTACTCGCTGGGTCCTTCTCAGTACTCAACGTCTCTTGTTGAACAATCCTAACCACAAAGCAAGCTGTAATCTAAAAATCAAGCCACAACTTGCTTTCATGTTGAACCAAAACTGTGATGACTAAGAAATAAAGCCAATGTTGCTGAACTGGCTACAGCTGCCTTTTCTGTAACGTGCATAAATGTAGGCTGATCATTATCATTTAAGCTGGAGTTTAAGTTTTTTCCTTTCAGTATTCAATGCTGGCTCTTTGTGAAGTATATGTAGTACAAATACCAATTTCTGATTTTAGGTCATTCTCTAAGCAGAAATGCTCAGCTACTACACATTGGTCAATACAAACAACAGGTATTTTCCAGTGCAGCAAAAACTGAACCAGTGTAAGGTTAAGACACAAAGGCACACTACTGCATCTTACCATTATTCATCTGTCTTTGGTGGTTTGGTGTGCTATATAGCATTGATATTCAACTCAGATATGCATGTAAAGAGATAGCTATATGCATTTTAAAATAACTAACTTCAAAACAGTATAAAGACAATGCAATGGAAAAACAAAACAAAGAAAATGGCAGAAAGCCAGTCCAACCAGGTATGAACCTGACTCAACAGAAACCACCTAAGCTTACAATAACTTTCTGAAGAAATAGATGAGTCCAAACTACCTTGATTGCATAGTCAGCAATTTCCTATCACGAACGACTTAACTGCCTGAGTAACTTTGTGCCTCTCCTACCCAAAGACCTTTTCCCTGTAAGCACAACATTGCAGCATATTGTAAGTAAGATTTTTGTGGTCCTCTGAGCAGCTCAGCGACTGCCAGTTACTAAACAACTTAGTAATTGTGCTGCTATTCTGCACAAGAATCAACAGTAGTGATCTATAAGCCCTGACAAGGGAAATCTCACACTTGGTTACTGAAATTTTCCCAAAATCTGCAGTTTACCCAAAGAACTCACTTTCTAAATATGACATGTAAACTACACGCAAGTTTTATGGAAAACAACTTCCAATCAGATTTACAAATTAGCCTCAAAATTCAAGGCTGGGCTTATGAATTGTGTAGGTTAGATGCAAATTCCAGATGGAGTGGGATCTCCAGAGTTTAAAAATATCATCAATCCAGGAAGTTTAGCTCCAGTGAATACTTCATCAACGTACACGCTGTTCAGGTCAAACTTTCCAAACAAAAAGCCACAGTAACTCCACGCTCAACAACTTACTGCTAGAAGAAAGCTGAAGAGTGTTGTTAAGTGGTTCCTCACTCTCCTGCTCACTTTACTATGCGTTAAAGTACATAACAAAATGTTCAACATTAAATAGTGCTTAAGTGATAATGCTCATTCTTCTGAGTACATTCTGGTGACAAATAAGAGCTTAAAATCATGATGGCCTCGGTTTTCCATCTCTCTAAATCACAGCATGCATCTTTTTTCTGCCATCTGTTTAAAACTGATTTAATTAAATAGCAAAAGTCATATTTTGCTGTTTCATCCTATATGGGATTCCGAAACCAACCACGGGAGTATTTATTTCAGTCCATTATTCCCCATCTCAGTTGCAAACCCCCTGTATTTTATTGTATTAGAGTATGATAATTTTGTGGACTTAAATTCTTTTTTTTCTACTAAAGAGCATAAAATACACATAATTCATTTAAAACCTTTATCTTTTTAGTTCTATTTTTCTTTCAAAGCTGTTAGTTAAAACTATCTGCCAAATTATTACTCTTCAATTATGAATCTTTTAGCCTTTTATTCCTTTATATGCTCAGTTTCATTACAAAATCGTCAGACAAGCTGTAGACATTTACTCATAACCACAGACCACCTCAAATCAGTTAGAAGTGACGGAATTTTTTCCCTTGCAACTCTCGTTCTTAGATGATGCCACACTCCACAGCACAGCTAGATTTAATAATGTAATTCAGAGAGCTTGCAAACTACATTTAAGATAACACACACACACCTTGCTTTTAATCTCAAGTGTGAAGATACCTTGAGCTGAACAGCACCAGTCATTCTACAGTCACCAACCAAATGCCCATTCTTAAATTTGTTTCTCCTACTTAATCATTTGAAAGTGTGTCTTATTTTCTCTTCTCCAGTCTCTTCACATACCTATGGTTTCTGGCAGGTCCAAGAGCTCATTGTGCTGCAAGTCAAGGTTGGTGATTTGCGTGCAGCTTCCAATCTCTTCTGGAAGATGTTCAAGCTGATTGTGCGCTACATCCAGCGTTATGAGGTTACACAACTCACCTAAAAGCACATGAGAAAACCAAAACATCAAGTTCTTTAATGTACAGCTCTAGACAATGACTTCCACACAGGGATTAAGAGAATCAAACAGAATTTGGGATAATCCGAAGAAAAGCTATTGCTACCACAAAGTGATACATATAAAATAAGGCATTACAGGATCATCAATTCTTCACTCAGATCTAAAACCTGATCAACAATTTTGAAAGACTCAGATAAAGTTTTTATAGATTCTCTGAAGAAATCTTATTTATTGATTGATTTTCTTCTGACAGTTCAAGCTGTGGAATACAAGTACAAAACCTACACTTTGCACTTGTTTCAGACTGACCAGAAGTTTAAAACATCACTAAGTGAACTGTATTGAATTCTGAGAATTTGAGATCTGGTTTTATACCACTCATTATTTCAAGCACTAAAATCAACAATTAAGACACACCAAAATTATCTGGCTGACAATCTAGATAATCCAAAGTAATGAGTGCTATTTTTTATCATTTTTAGTCATCACAAAAAGGCAACAGAATATCATATTTGTATATGCAAGCAGAGGTATAGCAAATAAAAGTTTGAAATAAAAGGCTTATCCAGTAAGCCTTAAAAAGACTTGGATCTTAAAGTTTAGAGCAACTTTACATTGAACTGCTTCATTCCTGACATTGACACATTAATTTAAAAGTACAGCTAGCACAACTCTCTGCATACAGAAACTACATATAGTAGTTTCACCTATTTTAATGACAAACATACTGTGTTCTGAGCAACAGCTTGATGGGTTTAGAAGTGTGTGCATGAATACATGTGTATGCATTCACATTCTTTACATCTGATGGAGGTGAAATTAACGCAAATTATCTGAACAGCTTCAACTCTATCCAGTAAAGATGAGGTCACCGCATGTGTGTATAAGAGCATGACTCAGAGAGTAACATATTTGGAAGAGCAGCAAATTCCTTTTGAGGAGCGAATGTCTATTTTTAAGCTTCAGTGTTGTATCTTTGACACTGGCCCGTAAGGATTTTCCCATAGGCCCATAGGACTGGCTTGGGCAAGTTCTGACGTGTAGAGCGTCTATCAGCAGATAAGCACAAATGGTGATTTAATATATCATAAAATATTTATGAATTCAGACTCTGTTTTGAGTTGTAGGTGTCATGTAGCCACAATCCTTACTACCCATCAGGAAACAGTTGTGAAAGGCCAGCAAAAAAGGAAAAAGCCAATCCCAAAAGCTTCATTATTCCATTTTTCTTAGATTGTTGACATATAATTGGTCTTATTTCCTGCATTTATTAATCCAAATAGGGATGTTTTTCTAGAAACTAGGCAGATGGAAATGTGGTGCTTAAGCAGCTCCTCCATCACTGTGTGTGTCTCCCCTCTCCTAAGTCAGCACTCAAATGTATTCCAGGCAACCAGAGTCAACAGCCAAACATGCCATACCCAGCACTGCATAAACCACACGTTTCAACGCCATTAATATGCAGAAGAAAGCAAATATAAGAAAAAATTGAGCAAGAGTTAATGTTGTGTGGTAGGAGTGCCTTGTTATTCATGAAAACAAGTGGGCAAAGTGCAGAAGGCAATAGAAGGAGGAAGAAAAGCTTGAAGAAGACTTCAAGATCCCTCCCTTTAAACAAACAAACAAAGAACCTCACAAATCCTTACTAAGATAACTCAAAAACGTTCATGTACTTTGGGGCAGTAGTTTTCACTTCATGATTGCTGTTTTCATTTGTTTTCACTTCAGACCTAAACCAATGATGTCAAGTTTGAAATATGGCATAAATTTCATTTCATCACACTGATTTCTCATTTACTTGACTCTTCCCACTCTACATCTGCTGAAGTAGAAGAAAGATTTGGGTTTTTGCAGCAACATTTGCTGCACTTTATTTTTGCACCTGCTGAAAACTTTGACAACAGCAAGCTACGTGTTTGAAACAAACATTGTACTAACTAATTCTGGGGAGGGAAAAAAAGAAGAGATATGTCTGTTTATTTAGACGACAAAGGGCAAGCAAACACTGCTTTAATTTGGACAGCCACACTTAATACTGTTATATTAAAGATTCAGGCATTCTTTTAAAAAGCAATACTGGTAAACTTTTAATAACAACTTTAAATGTTAACATAGACTGAGGACTGCCTGACAGATTTTAGACATTAGAGCAGGAATCAAGTGGAAGTTAAAGCCCTATCATGAAGGACAATGACTTAAGAAAAAGAATTTCATGGGATATTATAATATTCGGCCTTTAGTTCACATTGCTCAGTAAGGAATCTTGCTCTTGGACATAATAATACTTATAGTTCGACAGTATCTCACCAAAATGTTCTCCCCCCCACCTCCAGGGCAGAAGGAGAGGGGAGGTGAATGCTGCTGGCACTGAAATTCTTTCAATACTTTCACTTGGATTGCTGAGACACAACACAGAGAGCACACAAGTCAACAAAGAGCACTCATGGTGCATTTTTGCTGTTCTCTATAACATACAGAAAAGATTCTTATCCAATATGCTTAACTAGGTAAAAAATGTTTAGGTGATATGGTAGAGACTCATCCTCACATGTAAAAGCATACAGAGGACCAGCAGTGAGTGGAGAACCCAAATACTGGCTGTCCCAGGAGAATCATCAGCCCCATGACCACACATCACTGAGCAAATGGAAGGGCTATCCAAAGCACCTCACAGACTGAGGGCTGTTACTGCATATGGGGCTTAAACACCTACTGAGACACAAGGAAGAGCAACTTGGGATGGTAAGAGTTGCTATGGGATCTTTAGGGAAGGGGAAAGGAAGGAATCAAGGTGGCTTAGGAAGGACAAGTGTGGGAAAATAAAGGGATAAGGAAATAACAGGGTCCAGTCCTTTACAAATCAGTGTTGTTCACACCCTGTGGCCGATCAGCACCATCTACCTTGTCAACTTGAACTCTTTTTTTCCTGGGTGAGAGGCTATCTGTTCTGCACGCATGGAGGTCTGAGTACCAGCAACACTGCAGTTAATGTGACCAACGCTACTGAAAACACCCCAGTGCATGGGACCTGACCCACTTTGGCAGGGTGAGCGCACCATGCCCAGTGCACCAGCAGCTCTTCCCCAGTTGACTGACAGCAATCATTTACCCCGTGAATGGACACTCTGTGCACTGCTGCACAACAGCAGCCCTTTCAAAAATGATGCCAGGATAAACACATGGCATAAACAATCAATACAACAAATAATGATCTGCAAGAACAAAGAGCCCAAACTCAAGGCCATCTGCACAAAGCTTTTCCTAGGAGCCCATGTAAAGCCAGCTTGTTTCAGTGACTGAATGTGTCCTTCATATAGTCTGAACAGTGGCAACTGTATTGGGAGAAATGCTGTTCAGAAAAAAAGGTGAAAATAAATTTCACCAAGATCCAACTGAAATCTGGCATTTTCGCTTGGCCAGGGTAAGAAGTGAATGTCAACAATCAAAAAGAAAGTTCTCCTAAAAGGAAGATTTGTTCAGGTACAGAAGGAAAAACGGTTCATGAGTGAGGAGCTCATGATCTTATTCATATTAATCAACACTTGCTCTTTTCTGGTGTACTGCATAAACTCTGCTGAAACACATTCGTATATTAATCTGTTTAACAGAAACATGCCGCCTAGAAACGTGCTGCAGCACAGAAATCAGCCTTACCCAGAAAGCGATTTACTAAAGAGAAACCCGTTCCCATTCACTGCATGGACAACTAACTCCTGCATCACTTCACCAAAGGACTGAAATCACTGGAGTAAAGCAAGCTCTACTTTAGGGAAATACTAATCACAGGTAAAATGAACTAACTCTTTTCGCTGCAAGTGATGTTCAAAGTAGGCACATCTTAAGCTCACATTAATAAAGGATTCTCTGTGGACTACCTGCAACTGAATTGAAGGGACAAGTAACCTCAGGACATGCTAAAAAAATAAACTAGGAAGGTGCTGGAGTCTGGGGTTAGTTGGGTTTTGGGGGTGTTTTTTGCCCTCTTTTTTTAATACTATATTGCACTGTAATTGCAAAGGAAAACAAGAGCTGAAGCTCAAAGTCTGCCGAGCAGGCAGAAACTGCATGTACTAGCTGGCTTGACAATACAAGATTTTAAAGTAGAAGCAATGCCCATACAAAATATAGAAAACAGTTTATAAATAACCTTCACAAAACAGTTAGTTACACCCTATGATGTAGTTTGTAAAAACCTTAATTTCTACAAGATTAAGAATGCAGACAATTCACATGTATTTTTCAGAGAAAACAGTTTGTGAAGACTCCCAATCACCCTCCAGTTAAAAATATTGTTAAAAATACAGCTAAGTATACACCTCGACAAGCCTTAAGAAAGCTGGGGTGAGCAATCACCTCACTGTTGTTCTCATATGCACAGAGACTAAATTTTATAGTATGACAAAGCCAAGTATACCCACTGAAAAACCCCAGCCTTATGAAATGACTAATATTTTCTGCATAATGAGGCAGAATTACAGTCCTATTACATGGCCAACCTTGAAAGCCTGTTATAACACGAGGGCCAAGGTACATGCCCTGACTTACATAACTCCGAAAATTCTGCTGGGCCATATAAAAAACCAAATACAGCTTCATAAAAAAAAAATACAAAGTACACACAAATTAACAGTCATGTAGGGAGGGAGGCCAAGAGCAAAGAGGCTTCAGTGTCTCCTACCACTAATTCACTCAGTAGGCAACGCTCTTGGATGGCAAACACAATTTGTAATATAGCCTGTTTTCCACTGGATTAACTCCGTGCCTGCCCATGCTTAAGCAGATTGAAACTTATGAAATCCTTCATGACATGATAAATCCTGGGCCAGATGACACAGCAAGAGGATCAACACTCTTATGGAAAGTACAAGGAAGAGAAGAATGCAAATATTAGTGGGGCTTCAGGCTGCTGTGTCACAACACTGGTTGTAAGCTAATTTGTAAAGAATAATTATCCGAAATCAGCAAAGCTGGGAACAAG